GAGAGAGAGAGAGAGAGAGAGAGAGAGAGAGAGAGAGAGAGAGAGAGAGAGAGAGAGAACAGCCTGAAAACTGCTATCAATTAGTCCTTCAGTCCAGGGCAAAGGCTGACTAAGGAGTGGGTGGCTGGAACCTGGGCCCAGGGTTATGGATCCCGCGAGGTAAGGAAGGAGCAGGTGGAAGGAGCCGAGGGAGGTGAGACGCTAAAGAAGGTAGAAAGGCAGGCAGAACCATAAGCGTGGAGTGGCAAAAAGCAGACCAGTGGCTGAAGGCGTGAGAAACACTAGGTAAGAGAAATAGACAGAACGGAAGGAGGGACCGGGGAAAAGCCAGTGGGGTCTCTAGGGTGAGACCTGAGCGCAGGGGACCTGGCCGCGCTGGGGCTACAGGGGGTTGGAACCGAGACAGGAGCCGGGCGCCGGTACTCACGGTGCATCGCGGAGAAGGGATCTGCTTTGCAGTGCATATCCATGGGGAGGCAGAGGAGTGGGAGCAGCGCGGCCGCCGCCGCCGTGTCGCCTCTCAAACTCAACTTCAGGACTTGAGGAGAAAAGGAAGGGGCGGTGGGGGATGGAGAGTGAGCGGGCGCCCGGCTGCTGGGGGGCAAGCGAGGGCGGGGGGGCGCCGCGCTGCGCTCCACGCCGGGACTCCTCCGGGCCCGCTGGGGTTTGCAACCGCAGCGGCTGCAACTTGCCACCGTTGGGGCACGCGGCTGGGCAGTCAGCAAAGCAGCCCCCGGGCGACGGGCTGGACCAAGGGGCACTGGGGGCGCATGGCTCGCGCGCCAGCTGCGGCCAGAGCTAAGGCCGGATAGGGAAGACGGCTCACTCGGCTCCCCTGGAGCCCGGTCGTCCGAGAGGATCTGAACCAAGGGAGCTCAGGGCGGGGGCGGCCCGAGGGCGCCAGGAGGGGAGCCGGGCCGCTCCAAGTGCCGGCGAGTTGGCGAAGTTGGCAGAGAAGTAGCAATCCCCGGGATGTCCAAGCGGGCGCCCGCGGGAGGGGAGCGTGCGAGCCGGCCCCCGCCCCCGGAAAAGGCAGGCGCACGCCGCGGCGGCCGAAGGGCCAGGAGGGAGGGTGGCAGCCTAGGAGCCGAGCGGCGCCCGCAGCGCTGGGCTGGCCCCAGGTGGGTTGCGGCTGCAAGAAGACTCGGCCGGAGACTGGAGCCTGGGCTCCCGGTGTGTGTCTTTCTAAAAGCTGCAAAGCCCCCTCCAGACCCCCTCCTCCTCCCCGCGCCGGGAGATGGATGACTTGTCAGACAAAGGCAATAGATTCCACCACTCTGTGATTCGCCAGCGCCGGAGCCCCGAGCTTCGGCAAGGAGGGCCCCGCGCCTGTCACTCCGGTGCCGGCGAGGGGAGGGCCGGGGAGGGGGAAACGGGAGGGAGCAGCGGGCGAAAGAAGAGGGAGGGGGAGGAACGGGCCAAGGGGAGGAGGAATGGGAGCCCCGGATTAAAACTACACTGAGAAACGAAACTCGCCGAGAAGATAAACGTTAGATAAGGATAAAGAGCGGCCAGCCTAATGAATATTTAGGCAACCACAGAGGGCCTCCGAGCGCGCCGCGCTCCGAAGCCAGGCTCTCAGTCCTAACTCGCCCAGCCCTGCCATCCACCGGCCAATGCCCGCAGATCCCAGACGCCTGCGAGTCCGCATCCTTAGTCCGAACTCGGCTACCCTTGCGCTCACTGAGTTCCCTTCCGTCTTTCCCTGTGTCTTCCTCCCTCCCTCCCTTTCCCTCTGGTCCTTCCCTTTCGCCTTTTCCTCCTGTGGTACCTTCCCATCCACGCACGCCTGATTCTCATTCCGGGGCAAAGTGCCCAGCAGTTTGTCCCCTCCCGTCCCACACGCGGTGGCGCGCACCCCCCTTCCCGGAGTCTGGGCAGTCCAGACGCCTGGTTCGGAATCAAGCTAGAGGCCTCTGGCTAGAACCCACCTGCCTTGGTGGGACCCAACGGATGACAGGAGAGCCAGGGAACTTGGCACCTGGACCCTCGGGTAGCTAGGGAAGGGATTGTGCCGGGAGATGGTGCGCAGCGGCTTGTGCGCGGCAGCGACAGAGGATGCGGAAGCCCAAGGCGGGACCAAGGCGTTCTCTCTCCCCGGCTGGGGAGAAGAGGAGACTATGAACGCGACTGAGCGCCGCCCGCCGCTAGCTCTGCGGATCCCGAGCGAGCGCAGCTGGCGCAGCACGCCGGCCTGGCCCGGCTCCTACCGAGCCGCTGGCCCAGTCTCTGCAGCCCGGCCCGCACTCGCTCCCTTGTTCGCTGGGGTCCTCTCGCACGCACTAGGCGAGAGAAGCCCTTTGTCTCCTAACTGGTTAAGTACAGAATATCCGGGAGATCTTTATGAAATATTTTCCCTCGTCTCATAAATCATCTTGGCACTTCAGCTGATGTTTTAACTCTCTCTCCCCCCCTTCGCTCCCTCCTCCCAGGCTTCTCTGGGTCTGAGAAAGGGCGGCTTCAGGAAGCTCAAGCTGCGAAACACTGCTTTCTTGCCCGGAGGACCCGAGACTCCTTGGAGGTGTCTGCAGCTCCTGCAGCCCAGAGGAAGGGCAATGAGTGCAGACGTGTCCCTGTCCCCATAGCCAAAAAGTCTTTGCAGTAGAGGGACCCGCTAGACTCAGCCTGTCTCAGACTGACTCCTACCGGGAATCTAAAACTGCCCTCATTGTGGGTGAGTTTCAGACCAGGCTCAACTACACAGGATTCTGAGCTTTCCTTCCATTTCTTGGGGAGCTGGGTCCGTTAGGATCTGGGCCTTTTCCCTGGCTCCTGGAAATTCCCGACTAGATTGATTCAATTGCAGAGTAACTGCTGGAAAGTAAAAAAAAAAAACCTAAAAACTAAAAATAAAAATAAACCACCTCTCCATCTGCCCACCACCACCCAGTCCCCCACTTCCTTTGGGCTGAGGACTAGGTTCCCTTGAGGAGGCTAAGGAGGCTCAGGGGTCCTGCCTGGAAAGCCTTCCTCTCAAGGCCTGCAGATGGCGCTCCCGGGTTTGCTTTGGCCAAATCTCACACCATCACAACCCCAGCCATACGCACTAACTTAGCACTGAGAACGGAAAAAGAGAAAAACAGAGTTATTTTGGCCTAAAAGGGTCAGCTCCCATGGTAGGGAGCCAGGACCTCTCGGGTGGTAGAAACTGCAGTAGCCTTAGCTTCCTTTGAAGAAGGAATCAGTCCAGAATTTGAGGTGGGGAGCACTCAAAAGAGTTCATAAAGGAGCTCTTGTTGGGTGTACAGAAGGGAAGTCCTGGTAAGTCTGTTGAGGAGACAAAAATCAGCACAGTCCCTCACTCCAACAGAGATCCAGAGTCCTCTAGAACTCAAATGTCTTTCTGTGGTTCACATACTCTGAAATGTGAACCTAGACCATGGGGGGATTTCCCTATACGGATGACAGTGGGATTGAGCGTTATAATTTGTAAAGAACTAACGATTTAATTTGTAGAACACTTTTGAAGTTGCACACTTACACAAGTAATACATCCTCTTAAGAACGAGGGCTAGTGATAGTCTAATGTCTACTTAGCTCCAGAAAGCCCTGTCACATCTTCCCTGCCCTTGCTCCTGGGACACCCCCTACCCCCCTACCCCGTCCCAGCTTCCCTGTTAGTGTCCCAGCCAGTTTCTGGGTCCAGAAAATCAAAAAACAATCCCTCCTGCTGCTTTGGAAGCCCTGTTGGCCTCTCCACAGCCCTCTCTTTGGACTTCAGAATGAAGGGCTGATTTGCAGATGTCCCTCCTTGCTGGCCTCTCCTTCTGACTCCCTCTTTCCTGTTCTTTTTCTTCTTCTATGGGCCCTAACAGGAGGGGAAAGAGTAGAAAAAGAAAAGAAGAAAGAAGAGGAAAGGGAGGAAAGAAAAAGAAAGAAAACAACCCAACCCCAAACACAACCAGGGCCCGACCTGTCAGGGTTGGTTGCTTTTCTCTCATCTGACTCTAAATGAACCTTTTCTCTCTAGTGTTTTCAAAGCAGCCCTTCAACACCCCCCCCCCAACCTAGGGGCATTTACACTTCAAACAAGGCGCCCGCCTCCCTGCGGAAATTTAAAGGCAAATAAACTTTTGGGGAGTTGCTCTGATACCCATCTCGGGATTTGCTTCATTAGTCGCCTCTGTGCATCTGATCTGCCCAATAAATCTTCCTTGTGGATCTCAGTTCCTTCGCCTTCTCTGCTGCCATCTCTGCCATGCTCGCTTGGCTCCTGGCGGCCCCACTCCCGCTGCCTCCTTTCCGAAAGCCTAGGGTCGAGTTGGTTCTCCGCTGGAGCGGGCCTGCTCTGCGTGAGTGTTAGGTGTGCGGGAGGCCTGTGGTCGTGATAAGAAGGCCCTCTGGTATATACTTATGCAAAGGTGTCCCGAGCCGTGTGTGACTTATACCTCGGATTTCCATGCGTCTCTGGGCAGATCATGCTTAAGTGCAGGCAGAGATCCAGTCTGCTACCCCGGCTTACCCAGGCCCCCTTTCTATACTCTTGCTGGGAGGTGACGTGGCTGCCTCTCTTCTGCTCACAGGGCCCTGACCCTGCGACTAGGCACAGGGTCTTGAGCTCTCAAAGGTGGCTGTGTCACCGAGGACCTGGCAACACCCCCCCACACACACACACGCAGCACACACACACACACACACACACACACACACATCCAGCTGTGCCCCTCCCCCGGGCTCTGCTTGTCTTTCTCCCTCTGCCTCCCGGGGAGTAGCGTGGGGAGCTATGGCCTTAGCTCTGAGGGAGGGGATTAGAAATTCCGAAATTAAGCGTACCTCCCTAGGAAATGCTCCCCACAGAGCAGACCAAATTAAAAGCATTAAAATGGGGGGGGCTGTTTAGAATGAAGGGACAAAAACAAAACAAAAAACTAGTCCTGAGGAAAGGAAAGCAGGATCGAAAGAGGGAGAAAGCGAAGGTTGGGTAGCCTCTAGGTAGCTCAGCTTCGTTTCCGTTTGGGACATATCATCTCCACCAACAAAAAGAAAAGAAAAAAGTTCTTACAATCAAACTCTAGGTCGCACACCCGTGAGCCAATTGCCCTCTGACTGGGCCCTTGGAGGGCGTACCCTAGGCGTGCAGGTCCCTGGCAGTGGGTGAACGCTCCAAGGGCCCCTCTCCTGCCCTGCCTGGCCGGCTCCCGCCAGGCCCCTCCCGCACCCCTCCCCCTGCCTAGCCGGCTTTCTGGTCACATTGGAGGATTTTTTTTTTTTTTGGAAGAGCTTCTGGTACAATATGGAGCACCGTGGGCTGCAATTTCACACTCCACAGCACATTCTCCCTAAAGCTACTTTTTTTTTCATCTAAGACCCCCTAATTTCTGCTTCCTCGCGCTCTCCCTTTCTCTCTCCCTCCCTCCCTCCTGCTCTCTTCTTTTTCCCGCCTTTGTTTCCAATATTTGGACACCCCACAAGAATCCCGGGGGTCCTGACTGCCAGCTGGCCCCGCCCGCCTGGTCGGTTGGTCCTGATGAGGCGCGCACGTGCTGAGCCTTTATCCTTTTTGGCCCCTCCTCCCTTTAACCCTGCTTCCCTTCATAAGAGGACCTAGCAACCTCTCAGGCCCTTCACAGCCCCTTTGAGGAGCAATGACAATACAAACCACTTGGCCACCAAAGGGGCCTCATACTGGCACGGGTCAGCCAGGTGGCGGCCTGTGGTCCACTGAACTGGTGGGGGGGGGGAGTAAAAAAAAATAGTCAAGACATGGCTAGCAGTCTCACGGGGTAGGAGTGAAGAACTATGACCGAAGAGGAAAAACTTGGTGGAGAAAGAATCAAGGAGACCTCAGTAATCAGGCCCTGATAACCTCACCCCTGGCTCAGACCTAAATAGCATGAGTACTAGCCCCAAGCACTCAGGAAGGGCTTCTAAAGCAGCCATTCACCCCACAGCTTACAGGAAGGAGAAGTTGCCTCTGCCTGCAGAGTCTCATTACTTCCGTAGACCCCAGTTTACTCAC